TTTTTTTTTTTTTTTTTTTTTTTTTTTCAATTTTTTCTGCACACTGCAATCACGCTGAGCACGCACACTTCGCCTTCACACTTGGAACTTTTACACGTCCCCGTTTTGCCATTTACCGTTTTTTCCCAGCTGTGTGTTCGCATGGGCTACCCCTTCGACGCAATTTCGTTCCATGCAATGATAAGAAGAGAAAAATAAAATTATATTTGCGTGAGTTTTTATTTGGCCAGTGCTTAACATAGGGCTTAGTGCTGATCTCCCTGGGGAGCCAAAACACTGGTTTGTTCCACGCGCACAAGTGTGGGATGAGACCATGCACATTTGCATGCGAGGATGTGAACACCACCGCGTCCACGTGAGCATCACTTTTCCCCAGCGCGAACTAGCCCGCTGAAGTGTTTTCCCTTCCCTCGGTCGGGCCACATCGCGAAGTATGACCAGCTCCAGGACCAATAGACAATGGCTACCCAAGCGCCTCTTAAATGAGTCTTCGGAACAGGTTCAGAGAACTGGGTCAGCTCGGAACAAGGCAGAAAGCAGCACAGTATGATGTGCTAATTATTTAAATGGGGAATTTCCCTTGAGTGGGCATCTCACCGTTTGCCCAGGTGAAAGTTCTGTTCGCGCACACAAGTACGCATACTACGTGAACAGGCATACACATATGCGTGTGTGTTAAGCATACATTTTGCACGTAAAAAGTATTCGAGGCACGTTGAATGCCCTTCATTCCCCTTTAATGTTAAAAGGGATAACATGTTTTCTACGCGAAGTTGCGGAAAATGAAAAAATAAAAAAAACGGGGGAACACCTTTCTTCTGCTTAAAAAAAGGCATGTAAACACCGTGCACGGGAAGAAAATAAAAAGTGAGCTATAAAATGAAGGGAAAAAAAAAAAAAAAAAAAAAAAAAAAAAAAAAAAAAAAAAAAAAAAAGCGAAAATGCGCAAACGCCTCATCAGTCATCATTGTTCTCCCGCTTGCCCTCCCATCCCCCCTTTTCCAACATGGTGACACACCGACGCGGTAACTGATCGCCTCGAGAGCTAATTCTTTTTCAGAGTCACAAAGCAAACGTCGAAGAGCCTATCTTTGATTATTTTCCCATTGATTTTGGTAATTTCGTATAAAACCTGTGTGTACCCCTCATCGAGCGGGATGATGAGCTTCCCATTCTCCGCCAACAGGTCAATTAATATTTGTGGCAACTCACTTGCAGATGCACCTACATGAATGGCATCGAACAATCCTAACTGTTCCTTCTCCTGTTCACTCACTTGATAAATATTTTTGTGAATAATTTTAAAATTGTCCAAGTGCAGTAACTCTGGTTTGTCTCTTTTTATATTTTCGAGGGAGAAGTTCGCCACGTCTTTTACTCTCTCGAGGCCTATCACGAAGGAGTCCTTGTTCTCCAGTACCTTCGTTCTCATGGCCATGCACACGGTTATGTATCCCGACCCAGACCCTGTTCATGCGCAGCGCAAGGGAAAGAAGCAGTGCGCGGTGGGTGTATAGCAGGCGCGGGAAGCGAGCCAAGCACGGGCACGCCAAGCAAATAGCACAACACGAAATCGCACACGGTGGGGAGTGTGCTTGGGTGAAATGCATTAGTTTCGCCCCACCCCGAAAGGTAGGGGAACATCACAGGGATATAATCGAACAAACAGGATACTCTTTCGTTCATTCATTCCTTATTTCCACTTCCATCTCGTTCACTCTTCTGCAAGATTACCCACGTCCATGGCCCGGGATCCAGGCTTCAGCACATCCATCAGGCGCTTGAGAGACAGGGCGTGCATGTGCGGGGACGATATGGTGACCCCGTGGCTGATGTAGACGGGCATGTCCACGTAGGGCTTCTCCTTTATGTATTTCCCCCTGTCCACCTGCGATGGTGAAGACGTGTGTGTGCGTAAAGAGTGAGTAATGTGTTGGGGTGTATGCACAGGTGAACATCGTCTGTGCCGCTCTCTCTCGTGCGTTCCACCCCGTGTGGGAGTACCCCCCATTGGCATGGCTCCTTCGAACAACACAGAAATGTGAGGAAGTGGAAATGAGTCTCATGGGGTGATTTACTTAAGGTCAAGTGAGGAACCCTCTTTTTTTTTTTTCTCTCTCTCTCTCCCTCCCCCAATGGGTCCCTCTCACATTTGCACCAACCTGTAGCATCGTTTCGTACACGTCGTCATCGTCA